GTATTATTAACTTGAGTTTGAAAATTGCTATGATATGTTCAGTTGTTATCACTTAATAGGCAATCATCTTAATGTCTATCGCAACGCGGAAATTACTATCGCAATGCGAAATGAAAATCGCAACGAGAGAATCGCAATGCGAAATGAAAATCGCAACGCGAATTTCGCAATGCGAAATGAAAATCGCAACGAGGGAATCACAATGCGAAATGAAAATCGCAACGCGAATTTAGTTTCGCGTTGCGATTTTCATTTCGCATTGCGATAGTACTTTTTGCCTTCAACATAATGCAGATTGAAATCAACAAAATCAACCATTACATTTCAATCAATTAAACAAGCACAAATAAGAATTATGTTAACATCAATTAAACAAATCAACTTTTACAAATCACCTTTTACAAATCAATTAAACAATCAAAAAATAAGTAATAATTCTTATTTCCTCATCTACTATTGAATCAACTTTTACAGCCATACATCATTTTCACGCAGCTCACTTCTGAGATTAACCTGCATAAACCAAACATTTGCTCAAACAACACTTTCTACACATCTAAAACCTACAAACAGCAAATTATTGAATTCTAGGTACTTAACCAAACATTTTCAAACCACAACCCTATAAACATACCAATTGTTTATGGACATTTTTATAACGCGGATGCAGGTAGGCAGCGTCTCGTATATATCGATCTAGCCATATAATGCCGAAACCACAAGCCTACTGCAACTCTATCTCTATCGGTGGGAGGTAGATACTTTATACTTCCTGTGATCAAACGGTCCAACGCCAAGCATACGAGAGGACCACAATCCCCTCTGGGTCCTTTCGTTTGTTGTGGTGCGGTCTCGTCTCTGCTAACTGTAATATTGAGCTTCTTTGGCTTCTTGTTTCCAGAACGAGTCCAATAATTTATCGCATCCAAGAATTTAGCCAAATAAGAGCTCCATCCCTTAATAATATCTCTTAAATCAGCCAATGATATGTAATTTATCATGCTGTCATATACTATTGCCTTAAGGGATGGGATCTGAAGCTCGACGAGAAGTCAATGTTTACGTTCCAAAACAGGGATAAACACCTGCAATCATAAGTAATAATTCATTCATTTGCTCACTTATTTATGAATACCTTTAAACTCAATCTAAAATAAACACTAACCTTATCAACCTCCCACTATGCAGGATAAAGTTTAGCTTGTCCATTGCCCAACGCAAATGATTCATCTCGTTGATTCTTCAAGTGAACGGCTTTAAAAGACGTCGGCATAATTGTATATCGTGTATTTCTTTTATTTTCCTTAAGTTTCCTAATTATTAGAAGACGTGACACCCACGCATCGATATGCTGTTTTACAAAAAAAGACATATATTAGTAACTTACATAAATTTTAAAAAAAATAATCAAATTAAAATATAAGACTTACCCCTCCATCGAAATAGCCATTGTCTTCGACCCCTAATAATACGCCCCACCAAGACCGATCAAGCAACAAATAGATATCATCGTTGAGCTTGCATATGTCAGTGAAACACCCCTGGCTCCGCTCATGTAGATAAAAATCAACTGTGGTCTTAGCCCAAAGGGTGTTATCCAGAATTGTGTCCGGTAGTTGTTTCCTCTCCACTTCAGATACCGGTATGGTACTGGCCGGTAACTCATACGAGAGCCAACTTGAATCCATCATGTCCGGCACGTCAAAGGGTTTCTCAAGAATCCTACATATGATGCCATGTGAATCGGGCTCTTGAATGGTGGGAGGGACTTCTTCAACGATGATAGTTGCCTCTTGAACGGTGGGAGGGGACTCTCAAGGAATGATAGGGGCCTCTTCAACGATAGGAGTGGACTCTTGAGGGATGACAGGCGAGTCGGGCTTCTTCTTGCGGTGTCTTCGCACTATTGGGGTATACGGAGACTTAATAGCACATGCACGCCGGCTGATGCGTGAACTCTGTCGTGCAAGAAAAACCCGACGTAAAGCATCCACCTTATCGGTCCGCTAAATAATTAAATACAAATATCAGTAAATAAACATACATGATATTTAAACAGTGAAAACAAAGACAAATATATTTCAAACTTTCAACCAAAAGACAAAACAAAGACAAATACTAACTTCATAGTGTTAAAGAATACACAGTTTAGCAGAATTGGCAGCAACCGAATAAATTTACTTCAACCAAAAGACAAAACAAAAAGACAAATACTAACTTCATAGTGTTAATAAACAGTTTAGCAGTATTGGCAGCAACCGAATAAATTTACTAAGCAATCTAAGTGAAATGGTTAATTTAAGTGAAATTACGAGTAAATTTATCATCAAGTTAAATATGGAAAATCTTAAACTTACCTCGGTGCGTAGAGTATGAACCTCATTCTGCAACGCTACTACCATCTCACGTAGAGCGGTAACCTCACCACGTAAAGTAGACACCTCCACACGTCATGCACCATCGTTATCGCGTAGAGTACCGATCTCCTCACGCAAGGCATTGACCTCATCACGTAACTCCCTTGACTCATCTCGTGGAGGTGGAGAACAGGGAGATAGAAGTCATGGCATCTTTTCCGGTTGCCTATCATGAGGTGATGGTGGAGAAGAGGCTCGATTATGTGACGGGATAGGTGATGGCTCTCGTTGTAGAGGTGTATAGTCGGGTCGATCAGGTGATGGCTCTGGGTGAGGTGATGGCTCTCGAAGTGGAGGAAGTGGAGGCTGCTCATCATTCGTTCCATCAAGAAAACGCTGACTAGCTTACCACCAATCATTGGCAAGCTCAGCCTCCGTGGGTGTCAGTCTCATTAATGGAATGTTGGCCTCCTAAAAATATAAAAACTCAAACAAAGTTAAACGTCTACTATTAATAACTTGTTTATATATGATAGTATTTGTGTTAACTTACATTATTTATTGTCGCATATGGTATTAAGTCTTCCCAATCCAACAGACGTTTCCTCTTCCAGGAAATAGCCCTAGGAATATCATTTGAAGTTTTTATTGCATATGTCTTCATGGCGGGAAAGGCCTCGAATATCCAAATCTACAAACAATATAATAACAAACATTAGTAATTGTTAAATAATTAATTATAATTTTGAAAACATTATATAGAAATTATTACCTTAAAGGCCCAAACAATGCCTGACAAAGTGTATTTCGACCCATCGCCCCGCAAACTTTTGCGGTCATCAAAGGCAGACGATAACTTAGTCCAGGTAGATTTCCATATATACGAACCCCACGGAAACATATTCCATGCATTTAGGTCCTCTACCAATAATATTAGCTCCTGAGGAATAGGTTGTCTGGCCTCTCTGCCTAAAAAGCCGGCATACAAAAGTAGTAGAAGGCATACTCGGACAACATAGACGTCATTCATCCGAGTAAAACCATCTTTCTTATTAAACAATTTCTTTATGTCGTCGACGTGTAAGTTCGGCTTCTCTATTGACTCATCAGGAAAAACCCTGGATAACCATGATGGACGGGTGATATGACGAGTGTACCGGCCTACATCATCGTGTCTGAATCGTAGACCAGTGATTAAGCAGAACTCCTTCCGCCCAAAACAAGTATACGCCGGTGGAAAATGAAACCATATCTCTTCCTCACCACGTTGTATACTGTCGGGTAGATCGCTAGTCATGGTCTGAAGCCACAAATGGGTCAAATTAGCATCTCCACCCAGATGTTGTACTCTCAGCCATGGTCCGAAGCAGGTTTCCTCAAACAATTTTCTTTGTGCAGGTGAAAGCTTCGAAGCAATTGTAGTGGCTAGGCTAACTTTATTCCTTAATGTCAATGAAGCCGAAAAAAATTTCTACAAAAACAATAAACATACCAAGTTAGATATACCAAAAACTACACTGTCAAGATATACCAAAAACAATAAACATAAATAGTAGTTTATTCTTGAAACTAAAATTTGCAACACTGTTTTGTCTTTTGGTTGAAATGAAAATCGCAACGAGATAATGAGAATCGCAACGCGGAAATGACTATCACAACGAGAGAATCGCAACGCGAAATGACTATCGCAACGCGAAATGAAAATCGCAACGCGAAATGAAAATCGCAATGCGATTTTGGTTTCGCGTTGCGATTTTTATTTCGCGTTGCGATAGTTATTTCCGCGTTGCGATTTTCATTCTCGAAACTATTCTTTTTCTGCATTACTTCAACCAAAAGACAAAACAAAGACAAATACTAACTTCATAGGCTAAACAGTTTAGCAGTATTGGCAGTAATCGAATGAATTTAATAAGAAATCTAAGTGAAATGGTTAATCTATTATTGAAATTACCAGTAAACTTATCATCAATCTCAATATGAAAAACCTAAAATAATGCAAAAATTTCAAAAAAAAAAAAAAAAAAACTAACACTCGGAGGTTGATTTTCCATTTCTGAATGATTGTGAGGGATTTTTGACTGTGAATGGTTGTGAGGGATTTCGTCGGCGATGGGGACGGAAATCTTCGGAGATGGGGACGGATTTCGCCGTAGAGAGTGAGAGATGGAGATGGGACTGAGTGTTGTGATTTTAGGTTTGAGGTTATGAGTTACGATTACTGTGGACGGTTCAGTTTCCGATTTATTAAGAAAAAATTCGTGTTTGGAATTTGAAAAAAAAATACGCGTTAATACGAATGGCGCTATGTAAATCGCATTGCGATAGTAAGATTCACATTGCGATTTACGTATTCGCGTTGCGATTTTCCTAATTCGCATTGCGAATTATGAAAATCGCAACGCGAATACGTAAATCGCAATGCGAATTAGGAAAATTGCATTGTGATAGTCAGTATCGCATTGCGATAGTCATAATCGCGTTGCGAATCTGGAAATTGATTTGCGATAATGGAGATCGCGTTGCGAATTAGCGATCGCATTGCGATTTTGTTGGTCATTTTGGCAAATCCGAAAAAAGTTGATTAAAATCGTATATTATATGGGATTTTTGGTCACTGAGGTTATTTTCTCTTACAAGAAAGCTCATGTTGGGCGATTTAATCGGTTAATAAAGCTATGTGGAGATAAACTGGGCACACAAGCTACTATGGAGATTTTTGATAACTTGGGAAGAGAGTCTGGTTTGAAAGAGTACAATGCTCTAATAGCAGTTTGCCTGGAGAAGGCTAGGACCAGCAATGATGAAGATGATGCCTTAGAACATATGTCTGAGGCTTTTAGAACTTTTAAGAAAATTAGGGAACAGGGCTTTGAGGTAGAGGAGGGCACCTATGGTCCAATCCTTTGTATTTTATTGACATGGGTATGGTAGAAGAGTTCTATTTTTTGTGTGGACCTATCAAAGAAGGGAATCCAAGTTCTGTTGCAAGGTTAGGCTACTATGAGATGCTGTTGTGGATAAGAGTCAATAATGAAGAAAAGATTCAAGAACTTTGTCTTGCAGCTGATGACAAGGAAGTTGATTTTGCATTAAAAGGTATGGTGCTAGGTTTAGATGTTTGAATCATCTTTTAGTTATTATCTAATCATTTTTATTTGAATATATCAAGTTTATTTTCCAGATAAGTTTTTCCTGCTAATTTTATTTTAGTATGTTTTTCATCTGATGCAATCGAAGAGGCCAGAATTTTACCATTACTGACCTTACAACATTTTTTTATGTCTTGAAGAAAATTATTTGTTAGCACTTTGTGAATGTGGAAGGAAAAAGGACCTCATGCAACTTCTAGAGGTTGTTGATATAACAAGAATTTCATCTATGAACCAAGCTGCATATATATTCGAATCATGGGGGAGGCTATCATTATATTCATTCGTGGAGAAGTTCCTTTTGACACTAAAAAGCAATGGTATGTTATTTGTTCTACTTGTTTTTCTCCTGTTGGGTAGGCTCCTAAATCTTGTCTGGTGATGTAATTGGTGAAAACTGGTAACTGATCTGGTTTTCCTTGCAAAAACAATGTTATGTTCTGTATATTTGAAACCATAATTTTTCACTGATTGCATTTTCATAAGTATGACTTTTAATAATTCAGCAATTTTCTAGAAATTATTTTCTTGGTGAGAGCTTGGTGAATGCATAAGTTCTGTTTCTACTATCATGTATGAAGCATGTTGCATCCCCGCTCCTTTCTACTGTCATGTATTTGCTTATTTTGATTAGGTCTTTTTTACTAGAGTTTTTATTCATTCATCTAATTTCAAGTTTAAATTTGTACTAGTTCTTCTTTATGTTTTGACAGTCCATTTTAATACTTATGTTACATAATAATAAAGATTTTCCTTGTGTTAATTAATACTTATGCAAGTAAACGAGGCATTTGGTTCTGATGAAAAACTATGCTTCTTTTCTTGTATGCATTTTTAAATATGAGAAATCTGATAATGCAGATTACGATTTGGTTGATATCTCATGGCTCGTCTTTAGTTATTTCAGCGGCATTCCTAATTTAGCGGTGAGGAACTTCTCATGAAAGCTGCTGGTAATTTCCTTCAGCTGATTCTATGCAACGCATGCAGTTTTGCTTGTGTGTTAAAATGGAAAGTTTGATTGTGTTTATGGCACCCAGACCACTAATAGCAGTGTTCCAACAGTATTATTGATGTCTTTTGTTGCTAACCAATTTGCTTCCTTGTTGGTTGATGTGGTTTAGGGGGAAAACAACACTAATCAGCTGAATCAAGACTGAAAAAAGGACAGTAGAAAGTTGGAACTCTGGAAAAATGTAGGGTTGTAGAAACCCTCTAGTTTCTCTCTATTTAAACCTCAAAAATAACTTATACTCCTACCCCTAGATTTATATGTCTAATAATTATTAAATAAGATTGAAATAAACAAATAACATAATAGTAAAGCTCCTGCGTAATTGGTGACAATATAATTTCACGAGATTGTCGCCATTTCAAGTAGCCAATTAGTTGGAACAGCCTTGAGATAAACTGGTAAAACTAAAGATAGATCTTGAGCTGTGCAATCAATGGTTTTTCTTTTCAGTATCTAATGTTCATTTCTGGAAGCAATGCCTCCTTTACTTTTAATTGATAAATTTGAGATTTCTGAGGTGGCATGCCAGTTTCTTGTTCATGCTTAAACTATTTATATGCATCCTGATTGTAAGCAATCTTGCTTGTGAATGCTTTTTGCCACTTGCCTGCAAGTTCTTTTAATTATTTGGGAGTTGAAAGGGAAGTAATTAAGTCATTTTCTTGTCTTATAGCTTCTTATTCATTTTATGTCTCTACACTCGTTATCTATTGCAGGTTCATGATTTGTTTCTGAAATTCAAAAGCTTGCACATGAAATTCAAGATAACACCGTCATCTGCATCATATGAGAAGCTCATTACCTTTTGCTGTGAGTTACACAAGGTATGTCAATATTTATTTCAAGTTAAAGGAGCAAAAAGTCCAAATTTTAATTCTTTCTTTAGTAGTGAAAAAATTACAAATAAAATGTGATGGTAAAATTTTGTGGGATTTGTACTAGGGTTTTGTAAGGTCATTGTATCTATACAGGGAAGCTTGAAAGGATGGGATATGTGGTTTCCTATTGTTAGCCAAATGTTTGGCCTGTCAACGTTCATTTATTGTAATGCAGGTGCATTTGGCTCTTGACATAGCTGATGAGATGTGTGAAGTGGGTTTGAGCTTGTCTATAGATACACTACATAGCATATTGTATGCTTGTGAAGAGATTTACGAGTATAATTTGGTAAGATATATGAAACACTATTGTGCTTCGTTATTTTCTTTTCTTTTAGTATCACATACTGTACGTGTTCAAGTATATTTGACTCCAATATAAATTTCAGGGTTCACATTTTGAGGTCATTGGCCAATTCATACAAGTTTTTACTCAGTAAAAAGTATATTAGTTCATTTGTTAGAATTTGATATTGCTTAAGATAAAAGGTTAAGGGCTTTGGTTCTTTCTGAAAAGTTGCCCATGGGTGTCATTGATTCATGCTTCATTTAGATTGTCCTGTTATTTGATTATTTGCTAGTATCACGAACTTGATTTGTTTTGCCTTTTTTTTCATGATAAGGTTCGGCGAATTTATGATCTGATTTGCCACCATAATTTGAAGCCCAACGGTGAGACCTTCAGGAGTATGATAAGTTTGTCTGCGAGAATGAAAGATGTAAGTTGCAATTCAGCTTCTCTTCAGCCCCCACTTTGTCTGCAAATATGTGCTGCTTGATGATGTTTTTTTACTTTTATTTCTACACAGTCCTGTTCCAAGCCAATGTTTTGCAATGTTTGACTGCTGAATTAAGTTGTATGCATTTTTCTACTAAATGCAGTTCAGCGGAGCATATACAATGCTCAATGACATGAAATTCAATGTCACATCCACATGTAGTATTTATAACACAATACTGGCAGGATACTTTCGGGAGGTAGCCTTTTCTGAATCCCAAATTCATTGGCTATTTTTTTTTATAGGAATAGGAGGCCTCATTAAAAACCTCCCTCATAGTTGGCTCTTGTAAAGAGGCAACTAGCGGAAGGAAGAAAAGAGTACCTCAATGACATGAAGAAATTCAATGTCACATCCACATGTAGTATTTATAACACAATACTGGCAGGATACTTTCGAGAGGTAGCCTTTTCTGAATCCCAAATTCATTGGCTATTTTATTTCTTATATTTTCCTTGCTTTCTAGTTTGGGAAACTTTGTATTCCTTATTGCAGTCATAGCTTCTGCCTTGGCCTTTGCATGAGTAGGGCACTGTTTGTATGAAAAATATGCTTAAATGTATACTTTTCTCTAGTATTGTCTACGTATTTAAGAGATGGTCATTTAAAGGATGTGCCATGAAAGAGATGTTTCTGCCCAAGTAGAAGTAAAAGCATGACTTGTTTGACAAAGGAAAAGTCATGAATTCATATTCTTTCTTAAGCTTTCATCTGATTCTGATCTCTAACCTTATCTCTGTCTCTCTTTCACTGCATCTTGTGCTCGACTATATATTTTGTCTAATATTTTCAGGGCAACATTAGTGGTGCATTGATGATACTCAAGGAAATGGGAAGTGAAGATATACAACCAGATTCTCATACTTTTAGCTATCTAATAGGGAATTGCAATCGTGAAGAGGATATTACAAAGATAGTTTTTCTGTAATCTGTTCTTAGTAAATTCGTTTTTGCTGTGCTCTGCAAGTCTGCCATTTTTTCTTTTAATGCAATTGATGGTTTGGCATTGATGAAATTCTTAAAAGACACATCTCTTGTGATTTCACTTGAAGTGATACAGTAATTTGGTGATTGCTTGTAGTACTGCGAAGAAATGAAGCGTACTGGAGTTCCAGTTACAAAGCATATTTTTATGGCACAAATAAATGCATATGCAGCTTGTGGGCAAATTGGGAAGGCAAAACAGGTATGTATGCATTTAGCACTTAGCAGCTATAGAAGTCGGATACTCTCTCATCTGTTAATTAAGCATGTCAAACTAATGAATGTAACTCACGTACATAAAGAAATCCTCTGTGAGTACCTAATTATATGGAACATATTTCAAGTACAATTTATGCATTAAACCCATTTTGACGTCTCTGATGGTCTTGAAGGATCTATTTTATATTTTAGGTAGTCTTGGACAAAATGATACCTGTTTGCAGCATAAATGAAATCAAGAGCAGAGATTCAAAAAACGGTCGTGTAACGGTATAACGGCCGTTATATCCGTTACCGATATCAGCCGAAATCACGGTGTGAAACGGAATCACACCTATAACGCCGCAATTTAACGGGTAACGGTCGATCGCGGTTATAACAGACCATTTTTTCCGTTAATCCTGTTACAACACCAAACATCACCAACAATACAGTTACTTAAAAAAAAACGGTATTTTTCTTTTTTTTACAGGCAATTCAAAGACGGAAAAACCATATTATCTCTTAGCCTTACCAATGGGAATGAAACTTTGTGGGTGGGAATTGCGTATCAAGCTCGTTAGCCCTCTTATTGGAGGAAGAAACATCCATAACTGTAACATGCAGTAACCAAGTAAGATTTTTTGGGTATTTTTTTGTAAGAATCAAGCTAGCAAGCAAAGAAAAGTTAAAAACATGAAAAAATAAAGAAGAAAAGCGAAGAATTTTAACAAAAAAATCTCTATTTTTCACAATATTTACTCTGCGTTTCTGCCTCCCCTCTCACTCACGATATAGAAGAAGAGGAAGAAGAAGGGATTTAATCATTTTTTAGTTATATTTTATGTTTTAAATAATTATTTTTTACTTTTAATGTTTTAGGTTTGGACCAAAACAGGCCCAATAACAAGTTAATTAATTTTTTACTTTTAATGTTATAGGTTTGGACCAAAACAACCTAATAAATTAATTATTTTTTAGATTTGATATTTTTTTACTTATGTTATAGGTTTTTTAAAAATAAATAATGTGTTATTTTTAATTTTATAAGTTTTAAGTTATAATATGTTGATTTTGGTAAGTGAATAATAACGGATAATTTATTTTTGTATATTTTATTTTTTGAGTTTTTCCTATGTTGATAGTCTTATTTATTTTAAATAATAATGTATTCACAATGTTATTATTAATTAATTATCGTATCTTATCATTGAGTTTAATATTTGATTAAACTATATTATATATATGTTATTTTCGTTTAAAAACATTCTAAAAATCATTAAAATGATTCTTTAAAATTATAATTATAATTATTATAGTTTAGGATAAGTTGTGAGAACTTTAAGAAAATTCACGACCGCGACACCCGCAGTGACCGCGATAGCATCCGTTATGTCTGCAACCGTGATAAAAGCGACGTGACCGAAAACGGCCGCGAACGCTATTTAAATCCCTGATTAAGAGTGTGCTCGTGTCAGCTCTTGCATCGAATGGGATGATGCCTGATGCATTAAACCTTTACAAGGAAATCAAGCAAAAGGGGGGACTTTGGAGCCTAAAGTTGCTATCGTTCTCATTGTAAGTTTACGAAAGAACCTTTGTTTTCTTTTTTCCTATAACTACAATAATCTTAATTATCATCTTTACTATCTCTTAGGAGCATTTTACATCCGAGGGAGAGTTGAGTATATTACTTCAAGTATTGGAGGAAATACAGGATCCAGACTATTGGGTTGATGGATGTTGCAGACTAGTCTTACATTGTGTTAGAAATAAGCACTTAAGGTTGGATAACACAATATTTTTCATAATCTGGGGAATTTATCTACTTTACCTAGTTTTCTCATTGATCAAACTCTTTATGTAGTAATCTTTTATCTTCATTTTGTTAATTGATTGTTTGATCTTTAGATCGGCTATTGATTTGCTCAAGCAGCTTAATGATAAGCTTCATACCGATGATTTGGCTATGGAAGCTGTTTTCGACAAGGTTTTTTCCTATTCTCTTTCTTGATTTTTGTATACATCTTGCTTGTAATGCCCTTACCCATCTTAGTATGGTTGAAACTCGAAAAAGAAGCTTGAACTCTTGGTAATTGCACTCAGTCATTAGAAGACAACAAGGGGGGTGGGGGGAAGTGCTTTCCATCTCTAAATGTATTTGAGTTTTTACAAATGCTGGTTGGCAAATATTTTATGCCTTTTGCTTTTCTGCACCTCTCATTAATATGTTTTCTCGTGTGTTTATCTGAATGCATTTACCTTACATGGTTCCATCTCTTGATTGAATAGATATTGTGTGTAATTGCGGAGAACAGCCTAATGATTTAAGGCTTGCCTTGGCTTTGCTTCAAGCCATGAAGGATGAATTTGGCCTTACCCCTTCTCGTAAACGTCTCGACTTTCTCCTTCTTGCGTAAATGAAAAAGATTTACAGAACTCTCTTTTAATTTGGAGTGAATGTCAGGCAGCTGGCCTTCGTTTCAATGTTTTAACATTCTTAAGGTTAGTAATCCTCGCTCAGTCTTCTTTTCTCGACTTTGTTGCTTTGTTTTTAAAGTCTATGTCTAACCATTTCATCAACCAGTCAGTCTCCTTCGATGGATTGAATTGTTGTGTTCTCTTGCAGGATGTATCAAGCCCTTTTGGCTTCAGGAGATCCTAAGTCTTCAAAGAGTTTGCTAACTAAGATTCCGATGGACGACCCGCACGTTCGATGCATTATCAAGGCATGTCGAGAGAGTTATGTTCAGTCATCGAGCATGACAAAGACAGAAGCAGAAGCTGAAGAATAAAACATGAAAATACAATCATCCATGAAATAGTTAACATGAAGGAAAGCTAGAGGAATCTACGTGTCTTGATTAAAATGTGTAAATGACATTGATCAAGGGCATTGCACCCTAACGAAATCCTTAATTAATGTCGTGGACATGTATGATCATTTATGAAAGTTTTAGCAACAAATTGAAGCAGTGAAATTTAACTTGTCAAATTTGAATCCAAACTTGAAAATGATTCGAACAAATAACTCATGTTGACCCTACGGGCTAGCTGAATCATACCCTTAAGGCCAAGCAGACAGATGCAGCATGGTGTCTAAAAGTTCATTTAACGACAAAATATATGAATGTAGAAACTAATCAATGAAGTATCTTTTGCAGCTCCATTCCATGATTGAGTCGTGAATTTAACTGTCGCCAAAGCAGCCCGGTTAGAGTTGTTCACCGCCCTGATTTCCATGATCGATTTCTTTGAAATCACAGTAACGATGTTGCTAGTAGTTCGATATCGGGGGAGTTAACCAAATCCTCCATCTCAACCAAAGGATATATTTCACTGCGTCACGTTCCCATTCATGGCTACAAGATGAAGAATGTTGTGCTGGTTCTCGTCAAATATCTCGATCGTTCCCCGACACAGCTCCGGCAACGCTTTCACAAGGCTCACTTGCCCATTTTCGGATGCCAAGTGCAGGAGTATCATCTTATTGTTATCTTTTATGTAATGCAACCATGGGATCTTCTTTAAATAACTCCATTCGTTGGTAACCCAATGCTACGGCATAACAAAGAGGATCCCTCTCCCTCTCACCTTGCACTCTGAACAGTTCTGGTTTAGACTTCAGTATCAAGCTCATGGTCTCTAAATTTCATTTAATAAAAATATGGTTTGCTTAAATGTTTATAAGAAAAATTGGCATCTTCAAATACAAAATTCCAGATTACACCGATAATCAGCATTCTTTGATGCTTAACTAATCTCAAACTCACACTTGTATTTATAAGTCAGTTGCTATATACAGAAAGAATTGAGTAAGCTATATGATGCCAGCAAAGAATGGGGAGAAAATTGCTCTATTTCACATCTGACCTCGCAGTTGCGCCAGTAAACTCTGCATGCTATCTAGTTTCCATCTCAGTTCTTTAACACTCGTAACATGATTCTCCACTGAAGACTCTGAATTAGATAATTCAGTGACGAGAGCGGCGCACTTGGCCTGTGACTCCAAAACTGTCTCCTCAAGCAAAGCCATAGTTGAGCGCTGATCTTCATTAATCACTTTTGGAGACTGCCCGATGCTTCCAGCACTGCTTCCTCGGTTGAGCTTTTCCGATGCGAAAATCTTGTCAAAACCCTCGATCCCTACAAGTTGTTAAAGCTTCCAACTCATACAAAAGGTCCGGGTAGTATGTTACATTTTAAATGAAAATAAAATAACTTGGCCGAATCAAACTTACCTAGGTTGCTCAGTTTATCAACGGCATTCTTGCCGAGTGAGTTTTCTAGCTTGAGCAGCCGCAATACTCCAGCAGCTAAACGACCCATTGAATCAACTTCACACTTGCATAAGAAAGCAAGGTGCTGAAGTTCATCCTTGGTAACAACGGCCTCAATCTAGGGAGTGAAAGAAACCTCAATAAAGAGATCGACCATTATTAAAAGTAATCAACTTCTTCAAAAGTAAGGTCTAATTACCGGTCGTTTGACAGAAAATTTCATGCTTTCCACCACCCAGTCGACCATTTCACTCTCAACATTATCTTTGGATACCAACATATGAACTTCAAGATTTATCCCTCCTAATATCTCAAAATTTTCATCGAAGCCGTTTGCAGATGATGGACTTTGAAGGACGCTCTTCTGTGCCTGAGGCTTGAATGTCTCCTGTGCCTGAGGCTTGAAGGTCTCCAAGCCTTCCACACCAACCTGCAAGCATCCCCCCCACCCAACTTTTTAGGTACTAATTACTAAAAGCAAGGCAAGAAGCATGAAATTCAAATGAAGCGAGGTCAACTGCTAGGGGGGACAAAGGTGCTTCTGTCTTGGGTTGACACAGAAGTTCAATTGTAGGGCAAGTTCAATGGTTCGACCCTCCAATAACCTCCCAACCATAGGAAAAAAAGCCTACCCTAGACACACCTAAGACAATATACATGCTTCTAACACTCAAAACAAAATGCAGAGATAACAGAAACAGTTCAGTTTTGCTCGTGTATAATTACCATGAAAAGGACAAGGGCAAGAGAAGTAAAAATATTCTTACCATGACCAACTCAACAGGATATCTCCGTATTCCATTTGAAATCCCTTTTCCGTTTGGCACATCCTTCGGACTACCTTTTGCTTTAACTTGCAAACTTCGGAAAGTCATGTGCCAACACCTCTGCTCTCTGCCCAAGGCTTCCTCTTTCTCAAACCACCACCTTTTAGCCGTCTCTTGCACACCTTCAAGAGCAAATAACCAATCTCGTAACTCAATGGATACATCCACATCATCTGGCATTCCCAGGTGCAAAAAAATATCATCTTTCACCCCTCCTAAGGTTCCACCTGGATAAAATTTAAGGCATTTGTGGTTAAACTACGAGTACAATACCAAATAAAAACTTTACAGACAGTTGTAAAAGAGTAACTAACTAAACAAAAAATCACAATAGATTATGTCCCCTACCATCCACAAGACCATTATCAACGTAAGCTGAAGGTTTTAAAAGTTTCGACAGCGGCCCAGATGATAAATTCTCTATTCCCTTAGAAAGCTCCATGCTGGGACCACCATCAGGCCCAATAATTCCAAATCGATGTAGCAGAGCTTCAGTATAATTCATTCCTCCACCTAAGCGCACACCTGATATGCAAGCTGACACACTTAAACTATGACACTCTTTGTCCCTCTCATCAAAAGGAATGACATGCACAATGCTTATGTCCAGAAATGGAATTACTGAAGCTTTTCCACTTGATAGGCGCTTCTGCTTGTTGTGTACCCAAAATACAGCTCTTAATGGAGAAAATCCGTTCCCAGTTACCAGAGAACCGTTTTCAACTGCATCTAACAGTGTTCCATTCTTGTGTACAATGTTCCCCTCTGTCTCTACACAGTCCACCTGAACATTCTCCCAACGCAAAGTAGATGAAACAGCCATAGCACCACCAAGAGTTCTGTGAGAGACCTTAAGGAACAGATCATTTCCAATAAACTGAACTAAAGGCGTCCCTTGGATATCCAACGAGTATGATTCGAGAAATTTAAGCTTAAGGACATTTACTGCTAAACTGACGGCAGTATCACTAGGAACTTTTTCCATCAGTCTTCCGCCCAAAATATCATCCTTGTTTCTCTGTGGTCTTTTATTCTTTCCAACCACTGCAATCTTTTCACTAACTCTACCAATATACCCATAGAGATCCAAAACGAAAAACAACTGTTCAACTGATGTATTGGACATATATTGTTCACAAGCAACCCCTATTCTGACAACACCACCTGGTGGAGGCACAACTGTTAATGGGTTCCCATCAGCAGATGCCATAGCCAACTCAACAGAAGCTTCTTTTAGCTCAACGCATCTCCACAAGCCTGAAGACCCGCCAAGAGAACTTTGAACTCCACTTAAGCTAGCAGTTGTTTCCAAAGACAAACTGAGTTGTGATGCTCCAGCAGTCCATTTCTTTAGGCTTGCATCAATAGGTTGACCATCCCATAGAGAGAAACAAGCAGGATCCTTCTCCAGATTCAGGAACTTGAGTTTTAGTAATGGTGACTCCGAGAAAAACAACTTTTCGAAATGAAGCCTAGCTCCAGCAAACAACTTTTGCATGATATGGTTCTCTCCACCAGGATTATCCAATTTGCTTATGTCCAGAGGAACACTAATATCTAACTCCTTGAGAGTGAACAAAAGGGAATTCACTGAAGAATCTGGTAAAATAGAACCGGGATTGACAACTATTCCATCAGCTAAGAAGGAAGATATCCTCAAACAAGATTCTTCCTGAAGATGTATCTGAGTAATGAGCAGTAAAAAGAAAATAAGTAGGGAAAGTTGATATAATAGGATGAAAGTAATTGAGTACCAAACTTATAAAATCATACCATAAGAGGTTGGCAATCAATTACAGTTTGAGAAGCAAAAGAAGGAGGAAGTGGAGAGGGCTTGACTTGGAGAGAGTGGAGAGATATTAAAGGAACGCCCACAGTTAACTGCCATTGCTGCTCGGCCAGAGGATATATCGGAGGGCAAAAATCCTTACCTGATAAATCAGTATAGAAAATAGACACATAAATTTTAGTAATCTACTCTGTAAACTTATTGTATTTACATTCACATGAGGAAAATTTCCATGTAGAACAAAATAATAACTAACTGATACCAAAGTTGGGAACACGAAGACAAGAATCAGTAACAGCCTCCATAGATGGTTGCACTAAAGTACAGGGAGGACGTGAAAAGGTATCCCTGCATCATATCACTGACATGTTAAATTCAGTAAAAACAGTAATACCTGAAAAATGAAGAACAAGCAAGAAAAAGATAACTGAATGATTCAGATATACATTCATGTCAGTATCATTTGTCAGTATCATTTCCCAAATTCAAAGTTTAAACTAAGCCAAGAAGAAAAATAGTACGGAAATTTCTTCAGAAGGAAAAAAAAAGGAACAAAAGAAATCAAACTTTTGACTATAAGTGCCACAAAGATTATTAAATGGAATTTCTAGCTAAAATTTCCAACTTTTCAGAAGCTATATCTGTTGATCAAAACAGTAAAGCTAATTTTTTTAAAAATTAACAATAATCAAGTTATCAGGTGATTATACCCAAGTAAAAAGGAAATCCAAAAAGATGCTAAAACCTCCAAATACAGAACCAATAATAGGAGAACAAAGCTAGTCTGAAACCACCACAGCCAACTCATTGGAGAAGGGAAGCATAACAAAATTTACCTTAAAAACAATCCGCTGACCAAAACCTTTGACAAAAAGCGAGAAGTTTCTCCATCAGAGACACTAGCCTGCAGGAACAGAACATTCTAACATAAGATTCCATAACATAAGATTGTCTAAATCCCACCATAACATGACTCCATAACAACAATCTTGGAAGTGCATGGAAGAAAATATTATGATGTTCATACATTTCCAAATAAAATAAAGAACTTTGGAGAGAAGATAATACAAAGTAAAAGATATGTTAAGCTTATAGCTAGGATTACTAAATAGCAATTAGAAGTAACTAATACAGAGATTGGATCAAAAGATCTAGGATTGTTTTTAAATCAATTAAGAAAGAAGCATTCAATCACCATGAAAATATTACCTCAAAACAAGACAATAGTGTATCATTTATATTTCAAATTTGTATATAAAAAGACAGTGTGGTGCCTTCCTAATTAGGGCTTTGTAAAATACATTAATTTTACATTTTCTCGAAGTCATAAAATCTGATATTTAACCATACATGAACTTTCTAGCAGAAATTTAAAATAAGATATGTAAAACCAGAATTTAATCAGTAAAATAAGTTGATATTATGTTAAAAGATCCAAGTTTCATAGAAAAGTACCCGAGAAAAGAGGAGTGACTGCATCAGAAGTTCAAGTTGGAACTCTGCAAGTAAATTCAAACAGTTGAGAAAAGTTATAATAAATAAGTATGACTGGATTGAGGATAGAAGAGGGTAGGTGTAAAAGAGTAAACTGTTTGCTCTACCTTGTTCACAATTAACTAATGAACAATATTCCTCCCAACTCCCAACAAGAAGATAATGTGGTTCACTCTACAACCTGACTCCTCACATTTTTACCCATTTACTCATTTTCGTTTTAGCTTCAACTTCCATTTAGGTCTAAAGACTGGTATACGTTACACTAAATGAATACACAACTGGTTATTCAAATATGGCTTTATACATGTGTGTAAAGCAAAACAAGCAAAAGGAAAACAAACCGTTGTCCTTGATACAAAGAAATATGTGGTCCACAACAATGGAAACTAGAGACCGCCCAGCTGATTCAACAGATCGCTGCCAGGTCAGAAAGGAAAAAGTAAATAAAAGTTGCCCATAACAAATTAACATGAAGATAAAGAAATATGAAGTGAATGATAGTAGGTAAAACCTGCTGAGCTTTTAGATCCACGTCTCCTCTATTTAGACATACATACAATCCAGTCAAGAAGCGGAGAAGAGCTCGGAGCCCTGCTCACATGGTTGTCCCACAATTTCATGCTTTGTCAGTACCATATATTTAATTCAAATGGTGAAACAAGCAGTTGGAAAACTGGCTACCTTATTACCTGGTTCACTTAATGCAGGACAAACCGCCTCTGTAACATGTAACTGAACCTCAAGCCCTAGTGGAACGTTTAATTCTGTCCTCTGAACAGTGATCTAAAGGGAGAAAAAAAGTAAAGAGTTTTAAACACGTCCTGAAAACCAGAAAACACTTTTCACCACCACAAAACAGTTTAAAATAACATAAAATTCATGAAAATTAATTGAAAATGCATGATTTGATTACATAACCCTCTCCAGATATGCCTTCGAGAAAGCGTTCACCACCAAAGAAAACACGCTTTGCACCATCATCATCTCTTTCAGTTGACCCCACTTGAGAACGTGCTAAATTATCATCGCTGAACATATCAGGATGAGGCAGGAGATCAACAGATAGAGATTCCCATTCTAGTTTCTGGAAGAAAAGAATTTAGCATCATTAGACACTGTAATGAGAAAAACAACTTAAATATACTCCTGAAGACAAAAAACAAAGGCACAAAATATATAGATCAAAAGGATAAAACATTTAACATATCGCATTACAGTAAGGAATGTTCATCCCATTATGCACACATATACATGGAGGAAGATAAGGAATCAATACTCTATAAGTTACCTTGAAAACATATATGAAATTTTTGTTTGTAGAGAAATCTCGTGCTTCCTTAAGATTTACAACCTGAAAAATAGAAAATTGTTTAAATATGCATATATACATTAAAGAACATTTAAAAAAGATTATGACACAATAATAAGCAACAAATTACCTGCCAATTCTCATTAGTAGAATATAGTAAAATGTTGCGCATCGTGATAGATGCCATGGGCGGTGCCCTGAAAAAATTCAAAACATGAGTAAGAAATTCAACAAGGTAAGAGATCCATACAAGTTAGATTGACAGTCAAAGAAATTTGTTATCAGAATAAATTAACCTCTTGAAGCGCACAACAAGAGAAAAAGGGTTAAGATATTTTAGTAATTTATATATAGAGAGTGTAAATATTGAAATCCAACAAGAAGTTCACCGATAAAGAGCAAAATGAAGAACTGGTTTCCCTCAAAATACATGCAAAATAGACAATATATCATGCAAAGATGTAAAATGTTCATAAATTTTGCTCTTGTACCAAAGATGAGGTCACTTGTAATGAAAGTGCACTGAAATCTTGCAATAATCTGATATTTAGACATTGACCGAATGTCGGGCAACAATTTCCGAAAAAAATAAAGGCAACACAAGAACTAAATGCACTTTGATTAGAAGTCTCTGGTTTCAGAAATAAATCTTGTAACAAATGCAAGGGATTCTTTTACTATTAAATAGATTATATACGGTTAAGAGAAATAAATATAACAGGCCTTCAAAGAAAAGGGGCACTCTTATTATAAGATAATTTCTTCTTTTAGTGGGCATTGTTTTGCAAATTCTTTGTAGGTTATGTTAATTTCTATTAATAACCACTGGTACAAATGAAAGTCACAAAAGAAGACAAGTCTAGCTTAGAGAAGAAGGGTCTTGCAACAACCAAGTGCAAATAAATAGACTGTATGCATAGGTCACTGGTCATGTAAGTGATCAGACAGTTTCTGCTCAAGTACTAGCATAAAAAAACAAAAACAAAGGATCTTACCAAGCTGCCCCCCCTTTACAATGGGTGCCGCCACGAGTTTCAAGTAGAAGATTGACTGTCTGAACCTGTAGGGTCATTCCATCTGCAATCTACAAATAATAAAAGGACAAAACATGAAGTATATATTTTGTATCTAAAACTTTTTCCATGTTGCTTAGACATGCATAAAATAGTAATTCAACCAATTGAAGAATTTTGTAGATTTACTTACGGGAATTCAGATTTCTCTTATTTGATGTGATAACTCCGTAAAAAGGTCATATTTGGGACCTTTTCACTTAAGTTATTGACTGTCTAAGAGCCCATTTAGGACCATATAGATGCATTTAGGAGTATATAGTTGCATGTGGTGGAATACTGTTTGCCGCGGCATTTTATTCTGTAATCAGTGTTGTTTTATGGGGAAGATGTTTGTTTGGTGATGTGCAGGATTTGAGAGCAAGGAAAAGCAAAAGGGAAATGTCGTGACATAAGGAGACTGCTGAACAGAATGCAAATGCCGAACCAGTTGACATTTCGAGAGCGAACAAAACGAAAGAAGATATTTATGGAGTCAGTTGTCCCTATTTTCATGTGATCTCTGGCCATAAGAAAGAAACTTGCCTGGAGGGGATCAACGCTGCTACAGCCGATCTTGCTGGACCACGTCGCCCTGCTATTGATCCTGTCTGTCCTTTACCTGCTGCAGCATGATCCTATCGAGTACTCAACCAGCCACCCAGGCTGGATCAATGTCAGTTGCCCAGGGGGACCACTGCCAGCTATGCCTGATCCTCACGTGAATTAAGCATGATTTGGGGTATTCTAGGAATTTTAACACAAATTCCTAGGGTTTTTCTCCCCCTATAAATAGAGGATGAAGCCACAATGGAAAGGGGACTTTAGACAAGCCGCCAAGAGCCTAAAATTCGGAGAAAATGTTCTCCACTAATCCGATTTTTCCGTGCATTCCTCCATTGACAAGCTAGAGGGAGTGGCGTTCTAGGCGTCCGAGAGGAGCTAGTTCGCTGGGACAGTTCGTGGTGGTCGAGGGAAGCTCTGGCAGTGCACGTCAAAGGCTTTTCCTCTTTCCTTTTGCTCTTTGTTTTCATATTTTATCATTTGGTTTGTAAGGAACGGATTAATTTGCTTTGTGCTTTCTTATTTCGAACCTCACCATGGACTAATCCTATTTGGTGAGAGTTATTTTGGATATTTAAGATTTGCTTTAATGAATGGTTGTTTTTGTATGTTATTATCTGTTTTGTTTATGGATCTTAGTGCCTTAAGGTTGTAGGAGCTATGAGAGTAGCCATTCCTTAGGAGATTACTTAGTGTTCGAGAGAATGTCTAAGTAGCACATCCTTAGCGTTCAAGAGAAACTAGGGAGGAACCACATAAGCAAGGGGTTCTAGATAGTAACTAGGCTTAATCTACCTTAGAGATAAGGTTAGGATTTCATTCGACTAAAAGGAGTTATGCATGAACGATAGGTTATATGTTAATGTTGCCGCAAAAAGGTATTGCCGAGACATATCATGTTATTTGGACCAATAGGATCACTGCAGGGGCTTACGCCAACCGGTTTTGCCAAGGCATCTTCAATCTGTCGAGTCACTTACTAGAGATAGCATAAGGCACCCTAGTAGACTCTGTCAGGCAGATAAGACATAGAAGTAAGACCATTCGGAGAGGTAGACTTAAATTTTCCTAAATGACTCGTGTCATTCATTCCTATAGTAGCTTGTCGTGTGAGGAAGTCTAAATTCCTGATAATCAAATCCTACATTTACATTTTAGTTTGCCTTTACATTTTCATTTGTTTGCATCGAAAACAATATAATTTGCCACGACATCTGCATTTGCTACCATCTTACCATTATTCCATTTCCACAACATCCATTTCATTTTGCCACAGCATTATCATTTGCACATACCATCACTAATTTTACTTAGGTGACAAAGTAAAGTGCTTTGACCGAACTTATCAATTTCCTCCAATCCATGTGGAGACGATACTCACTCATCACTGTATTACTTGTTTGATTGTGTATACTTGCACATATATCCGCACCCATATTTAGTACTCACAACAAGTCGGACATGATGTAAGCTCAAGGTTTAATTATAGTTCAAAATTATAATATAGGGAAACAGCAACTTGGAGAGGAAGTAGGCACTACGAAGGTGCTAACCTTGCAACATTTAAATCCATTAATGGTTTGACATTCCAAACCAAACAGTAATCTACAACTATACCAAAGAAAGTATCTCACCTTGTCAGCAAACCCATAACCACTACCCTTCCCTGAGCTGGTGGATGATTGCATGCTGCAAGCACAAAAGCAGATACAAGTTGCTTTTAAGAACAGCACAACATGCCAAACTACAAAGTTACGAATGGGATCTTAGTTATGAAAAATAATATTAAAGGTAATCTACATTACCTGCTTGAGCTTCTAGGAGAACCAGCGTCAGAATTTTCCTCCAGAACCAAATCAAGCCTATCAATTTGCACAACAATTGGCTCGACTTGTACATTACTGACATAGGGGAGCTACCAAAAAATAATTTAGAGAAAAATTATATAAGTAGGGGAACTACCAAAAAGGTAATTTAGAGAAAAAGTATAAGCTCAAGAAAAATGGGATCATAACCAGCTAAAAGTCAAAACAAATGAAAAGAAAAAAAAAGTGGAGGACAATGTCAACCTTGTTTCAAGTATTTCAAGATCAAAATATATCCCCGATATAGTTCGAGTTGAGCATGCATATATGAATTTTCCATTTAAGAGTAGAGAAAATTATATGTATAACAGCAAATGCAAAACTAAGCACCAGTTAAATCAAATACATCGTAACAAAAAGATAGCAAAAATGAAAATAATTCTTCACAATTTATAGTAGTTACAAGCAAAAAATATATATAAATTCCAACTTAAAGTTAGAAATTAACCTAAAAATCATCAAGTTTCCGATCAAAAATCCAAAAAAGAAAAAAAAAAGTAGAAACTCACGATTATTTCCAATTTCCCAACTTTTGCTGTCGTCACATTCAAAGCAGGAGGCAATCCCATACTCGCATGCAACGCATCGCCACTTATATCTATCAAATCCAAAAATAATTAATCAAGAAATGAAATGAAATGGAAGCCAAATTTTAGATCCAAAACTTAAAAAGACATACCTAAATTGGAAAGTTGTACCGTACGGCCCTGTAATTTGAACTGGTCTCGGGAGAAAGACTTAAGCCAGTACTTCAGAGTGTACTCCAATGCTCGAGCTAAAATCGACTCCATTTTGAGATTGAACGGGCAAAAAAATTAGAAAACAGAAAATTCTTCTCAAACTTTGTAGATAGCTAAATCTAGACTGAAAAATTCATGACAAATTGACGAGAATTCGAAATTTGTGTGAGAAAACCCCTAACTTATTAATGGAGGCAGTAGTCTCTTCTCTCTGTTTTTTTTTTTTTTTTTTTGGTTTAATTGATTTATTTTGTTATCAGGTGGGGGAATCTTAGCAAGGGGAAAGCAGGGAAGTGGCACGTGCGAGTCCATGGATGGCACATGCGAAAGATGAGCTACTGAAAGGTGCATTGGATCTCGGAATGTGTCAGGAGTTGATTTGTCGGTTCGTCTTAAGCAAGGGAAGTATCGACTTGTTCAAAACATTAAATTGTAAAATAAAAGTAAATTCATATAAATATTTTTTTCAATTATTAATTTAAAAATTAAGTTAATTAGAATTTATTAAGATCTTAATGATTAAAAGAGTATTTTTCTTTCTGAAAATTTTAAATTCAAGTAATCGTATATTCTAAATAGTTGTCTAATGAATAAAATAAATAAAATTAAACAATAAATTAATGTCTTGACCCTGTAGCAAACGGTAGGGTGGTAATCATTGCTTGATTTTTGTATTTGCCGTCACTTTTGGACAATAATAACCTAAGGCGCAAGACATGGTTTTGTCAAAGGATAAATGTGAAAATGAAATTGATTTTGAGACTTGGTTTAGATTTTAGAACATACAACATCTCATACAAAACATACCGGCATGTTTTAGAATGTCACAATTATTTTCTTCTTGTCCCCACACCTAACTTTTTTATTATTAATAGAACTATTAGATTTAAACATTGTGCTTGATTAAAAAAATAATTATAAGTTAGTTTAATGAGATAATATGTTAAAATCTTTAAGAAAATTAAAGATTCGAATCTTAATATTTTGAATGAAAAAAAAATATATTAGGAGAATCGCTCTGTAATGAATCATATATACAATTAACACGCTTTTCATTCGAGCCTCGAGGCTACATTTTATATTCAAATAGGTATTTGAAAGAATTAAAGTTAAATTATATCACTGCATTAACTCATAACTTTGTATATCTAAGGGTCTTAAACTTCCGTGTTTGCTCTTGTACAATGAACGTCGTCCTCGAACTCTTCTGTGTCTTTTACTTATGATTTACTTAATTCTATTTTTATTTATGTATTATATGATATTATCTTCGGTTAATAAAATTACATATTCCATAAAAAGAAGTCTTAAACTATAATTTTCCTCATTTTAGGGGGCCAAGGCATCTATATAACTACAAAGCATAATTAATCATCATAAAACATATATAGAGCCTGAAAATAGTTCTTAATATAATCATATGTATTGTGATTTAAATTGAACTAAATCAGAATAAAAATTATAAATTTGTGCTTAAAACATTTATATTTGGGAAACTTGTTTTTGTTATTGCTGTTTTGTAGCACGAACTTGGAAGAATGACCAAATTCATGCTTTTACCATGTGAGATTCAAACCTTGCACTCTCCAATTGTCATTAACAACCAAGTATTAATTAAGTGGATAAGAACCGAAGTATCATAAACTAAATAAGCTGATTCACATATGCGAAGCAAAATCCATGTATAGCCTTACCCTCCAACTTGACCATCAACAAACCATGGCCTCCAATATGTATGTTCTCAGTTCACTGTCAAAAATATTTTTGGATCCGCCACTGATCGACAATAGAGAGATTCTGGTTACAAAGCTCTAACAAAATCTTAACTAAAACAATTAATTTTAGCGGGGAACACACACGGGGATTAATAAATCTGCAGAAAATAATGCAGCACATGTTGTCAAAATTCTGAATTTTATAAGTGAAGAGTATTCTTCACCATGAACCAACGGAAGTTAGTTCATTGTCTGAATCAACTTCTTTTCCATTCTTGATAGCAGCAACGACATCGAATTACGATATCTCGTTGCCAATCTATTAAGTGCAGTGGTAGGCCTTATTAGAAGGAGAATTGAAGGGTTCTTCAGTATTTTGCTGGTGCCAATGCAATCCTTTGTTTTCCACATACTGTGAAATAAAATACTACTCTTTTCCATAGGCAATGTTTTGATGGATGGTTCCTACAAGCATGGGTTGGCTGCTGACTGATAAGTTCAATATGTGATCTCAACATCCACCTAAGAAGCACCGGTACAGAGGAACCCTCTTGTATTACCCGATCGATCTTGCATTCCATGTCGACCTTATAATTGCTTAATTACAAATGAAACTATGACAAAAAATCTACTCAAACTAGATTTTTTATTATTTAATCAATATAGAATATTAGAAGTATAATCCATGTATTTAACAAAATTCAGAACACCAAAACTTAACAGGATGTACATACCCTAACCCCTCCTATACCGTCAACAAAGCAAATGCAAACTCAGGAAAAACATAAAGTATATTTCAGAAGCTGGATTACAGATGTATGAAGCTCGGATGTCACTGTAGGCAAAACCGGAGGTTTTACTCTTCATTAGGAATTAACCGCTGTATTGGAAAGTCCAGAGATTGCATTTTTTTTAAAGGTATTTGTCTGTCTTGTTCGTTTTCTTTCCAGATATACTTTCAACCAATGATTATGAATAGCATCAAAATGGCTGAAGAAAATGCTTTTGGCAGGTAAATAGAAATCGGAAGGTTCCCAACCCTTATTGAAGCACAGTCGAAAAACATCCATCAATGCCTGTGTACTGATTCCCAGGATGTCTGTCAATTCTTTGTTCCTTGTACATCAGACAAGTCCAGTTATTTGATCTTTTTGGTTCATAGTATCATTTTGAAAGAATGCATTTTACATCTAAGTGAAGTAGTTTAGTCTATTGTTTAATGTGTATCATGCTTTAGGTTTTGGACTTTTTTACAACCGTTCAATTAGCTCATGTTCGACATTTATGTGTAACTCATTAACTCTTATCCTCCTGTTACAGGATTCCAACTGTATATAGCAATAGCAATGGATGCCTTCCGCACCAGAGGTCCGGATTGCCTGAACATGGCCGGATTTCATGTAGAACTAGCTCTGGATTTCTTGACACCATGACTGAAAACAGTGCTGCACTTGCTGAACTTCACACCGGCATCAAAGAAACTAGTTCAAATGGTCCTAATATGCCTCTATAGGAACCAAGGGCGTTTGTAAACAAGAGTTGTATTTGTATGAAAGAATGTGATCATAGCAACATGATATGTACAAGTTTCTTTCACTTTTTTACCCTATTCTTTTACATCCGTAAATAGTAGTTCCAGGAGTAAGAATTCTTGATTCAGTAACTTGATTTTACCTTTTAATTTAGCAAAAGAAGTGTCTTCTAAGCATGTTCAGGCCCAATGACTGCAGAAACGAGAAACTAGGTGCTTCTGAATGTGGTATATTGTTTTTTTAAAAAGAAAAACTTTTTTTTTTGCTTTTACTGATTCCCTAGATGTTGAAAAACCAGACAGAAACTTGAAATTTCTATTTTGACAAAGGTACCGAACTTCCATGTTCCAAAGTTCCAACTCAACTTGTCTGGTTTTAAACATGGTAATGATTCCTAGTACTGCATAAGCACTGCAATATGATATCTTGACACACAAGTAATAATGTTTATATATTTTAACATGTTCTTGTATTAAATCAAATTGTCATGATTTCTTATAATTGTTTTGCAAGGTAAGTAGGTGTTCTTTGACCAGGTGATGTAAATCTATAGCTTTCTTTTATATATATATATATTTATATATAAGGTGATGTTATAGCTTTCACCTTTATAAAAAAATTTGTTGTTAATCATAATTTTCATACAAGGAAACGGCATCTTTCAAATCATTTCCATGTAGATTTAATATAAACTATTAATAAAAGTATAATTGAAATGAGATTAAGTTAATACCATAGTCCATAGCTATGAAAATGGTGTATGCAGTACAAAAGAATGGAGTAGATGTCGCTGAGTTTTCATTCCAACAACCAAAGTCTCTTTGATTCAAACCCCCAGGTGCAAGAGACTATCATTTTCCCATTCCGAAATTCTGTATTGTCAAACTCCATTTTTTAGGGATAAAGCAACTTTTAGTCCCTGAACTTTTTAATTTTTCAACTTGGTAAATGACTTTTTTATTCACATTAGGTTCATCTTGATGACGTGGCACCATATGAGTGTGTTATATCATCAAGGGGACTAAAATGGGAAAAGTTATTCAGGAACTGATGTTCCAAAAAAATCAATTGACCAAATTTAAGGACTAAAGTTGGTCTATCTTTTTTATTAATTTGATTTATTTATGAACGTGATGACACAAACTTCATGTGGAGGCAAAGCTATTGTTTTGTAATTTTTTTTATGAAGTTTCTGTTTCTGATGATCTCTCAACTTACCTACTTGAAAACCAAGCCAAACCTCAACAAGAACAAAGTCCCATGTCTTTTTCTCCTTAACAACCAATCCTTCTTCTGAATATATATATATATAATGTATATATATAGCCTCTATGTTAAGCAAGGTTAGGTGACTGACGGCTACAATTTAAATCTCTTCCCTTTTTTACACCAATTTCCTTGCTTGGCCTTTTCACCCTCTTCTTCTGTAACTCCATCTCCATACTATTACCCAGATGAACTGTTAGAGGATCATCCCATAGGAGTTTTTGTTTTTGTTCTTTTTTAGGACAAAACAAGAGAGTAAACATGCAGCTTTACATCTCTCCTAGTTTGAGACATGTAACGGTGCTTCCTGGGAAAGGTGTTAGAGAGTTCATCAAAGTGAAAGTTGGTTCCGGGAGGGTTTCTTATCGGATACTTTTATATTCGCTTCTCTTCTTCACGTTCCTTCTTCGGTTTGTCTTTGTATTTTCGACTATTGATAGCATTGATGGAGATCATTCCAAGTGTTCCACCATTGGTAAGCTTTCTCTAGTTCGAACTGTATGATATATATATATATATGTGTACGATATAATGCTTTCAAAATAAATAATTCACGAGATAATGCACTCCCCATATTATTTGCTGAAATATGGTGAAATCCACAGTGGCCGTAGGTCGCCATGCCTTCCGGGCGACCTACTACGTCGCCATGGGCTTCCCTGGACGTCTGCATGTGCCATGCACGTCCCCAACACCCCAACACAGGTCGCCATGCACTCCCAACAAGGTCGCCATGCACTCCCAGCGACCTTGTAGGTCGCCAAGCAGTCCCGGCGACCAAGCTGGCTATCAAACTTAACCCTGCTCGCTGGCGACCAAACTTAACCCTGCTCCCTCGTGCATACGTTGCATCCATAGCTGGGAGATTGTAGCCAAGCTTTAACCCTCTGTTCCCTCATGCATGCGTTGCATCCATAGCTGGGAGATTCCTGCATCCATAAGCGTTAATTTAGCTGCTAAATACAGCAAATATTGCTGTTGAATTGCAGCCTTTCAACGCTCAATAGTTACACGATTCAATGCTCAATATTATTTGCTTCAACAGTCAAATTTAATGACGCTCTCCAACGCTCATTTTCTTTATATAGAGGATATGGGGTTTAGGGTTTAGGGTAAAAGCAGAAGCAGCACATATAGAAACTTTATCGAGAGAAAGAAAAGGAAGAAGAAGAAAAGAAGATAAAGGCTCAAACATTCTTTTTTGAGGTAATTTTTTATTGTTTAATTTAGTTTATTATATGAAATTATTAGTTTGTTAGCTTAGGGTTTAGGGTAAAACTAAAATTTAGTTAATTAGTTTGTTAGTTTAAGTTATATTATATTAGTTTGTTAGTTTAAGTTATATATTATATTATATAAAAAAATTAGTTAATTAGTTTCTTAGTTTAAGTTATTAAATATAAAAAAATTAATTAATTTGTTAGTATCTTTAAACGTATATTAGGTTGTTTGTTGAAGTTATATTATAAAAAAAATTAATTAGTGCTTAATTAGTTTCTTATTTTAACTAAGTTATATTATAATAAATAAATAGTTTACTAGTTTAAGTTATATTATAATATATTAGATTATATAAAATTAATTTGTTTAATTTATTGTTGTTTAAAGAAATATTTTGTTTACACATACATGGCATTATTCCACAACATTTGCCTACGTATAGATTGATTCGAAGACTTGAACAAGAAAGGAAAAGAAAGGAAATGAAGAAGGCACAAATACGCGGGTAATTTATTATTTTTTGTTGTCCATTTTTAGTTGTTATGTATGTGTAATTAGTTAGTTAGTTAGTAAGTTTATATTAGATAATTTGTGCGAGATAATTTCTTTTTAAAAAAATATTGTGTTTAAAAATATTTAGTGTTTTTTAAAAATATTTTGTTTAATTTATATTAAATGTGTAAATTAGTAAGGAGTAAAAATTAATTGAATGAAATAATTCGGTCAACGCATTATCTCACGAAATAATTCTTTCGAGAACATTATCTCGACAGTTCTGCCTAACAAATTTGTTTGATATTTTTAAAAAATAAAAAATATTATCAAACTAATCATTATTATTAGTAATAATTACTAAATGATTAGTATCAAATATAAATCATTAAATATTTATAATAAATAATTATTAGTAATCATGACTAAATCATATTATTATTAAATCATTAAATATCAAATCATTAGATTAATAATAATTATTAAATCATTATTAGTAGTATTAGTAATCAATCAATCAAATTAAATAACAAATTTTATTTGATCATTAATATAATAGTATATTATATTATATTTAATGATTTATGAAATTATCTTATCTAATTTTTTAATCTAAATTAATTTATTTTTTATTTGTAGAGAAAATGAACAATAACTTTTTCACGATTGTCCATTATAATGGACAGATTATGGAAAATGAGGTCGGAGTAGTTTTTCAGTCTGAAAACCCAATAAATATGATGTTCAAAAAAGACATCACATTTATAGAAATGAAGCATAAGATAGAAAGCAAAATTTGAGCTACAGTTGATGGTTTGAGGTATAGGTTTATGATATGCCACAACCCAGTCAGATATGTTGCAGTTCCACTTGAAGCAGATGATGATATTGGAACCATAGTTGGATTACATGAGTCAACCAATATAGCAGTTATTGAGTTATTTGTTGATGTACGTAACATATGTGATGTTCCTGGGTCATCAAGAGGTGTGGCTCAAAATCCATCTGAAATGGCTTTATATAGTCAGTTTGAGGAGCCGACATACAGGTTCCCGAACAGTTTTATGTAACTATTGGAAAGTGTAAATGAAGTCGGGGGGACATCTGCAGCAGCAGAGTATGAGACGAGAAACATACCGGAATTGGTTGTTGATATTGACGCTGAAAATTGATGGGGAGAAATTCATGATGATTCAAGCGAAGATGAAGAAACCGAAGAACCCGTTTTGGGCGGCGACGAAAATATTTTTGGTGGAGGTGCAATTGATGAAGTTCCGGCACCGTATATGATGCGATGAGGGCACCTGAATTCCCATACATGCCACATTTACTTCCATACCAAATGACTGAATCATTCGATAATTCTGGTGAATTTTCAGTTGGGGTGCAATTAAGAGGAAAAAATGAAGCTACCCTGGCGATTAAAGAGTACTGTATCAAATGCCATGTTGATGTCCATGTTGCAGAGTCCAACCAGAAAACCCTATACACGAAGTGTGTAAAATATGGCCCAGAGTGCAAGTGGAAGATCAGAGTGTCGAAAAATCAAAGGCACGATGTTTGGGTCATCACGAGGTACAATGGTCCGCACACATGTTTGCGAAACTCCATCGAACAAGACCACCGACTATTAGACTCCGATGTAATATGTGAATACGTGAAGGCGATGGTTGAAAAGGATCCAAGGATATCTTGTTCAGTGTTAGCTGCATCTATTCGAAGCCAATTTGGATATCAAGTAAAATATGGCAAGGTGTGGAATGCGAAGATGAAGGCAATGAAGCTGACGTATGGAGATTGGGGTACATCGTACAATGAGCTACCACATTAACTACAAGCAATGAAGCGATTTATCCCATGAACTATAGTGAAGTCTCAAACCATGCCCGCATATGACGAAGAAGTTCAACTTCTGCCAGGGAAAAAAATATTCCATAGACTATTTTGGGCATTCAAGGCATGTATTGAAGGATTTCCATTTTGCAAATGTATGATCCAAGTAGATGGTACGTGGTTGTATGGTCAATATAGGCATGTACTTTTGATGGCAGTTGCTCAAGATGGTGAACGAAATATCTTACCAATTGCATTCGCCATTGTTGAGGAGAGACAACAGAGGCTTGGGATTTCTTTCTAACCAATCTACGTCAATATGTCGTTCGTGAAGATGGAGTTTGCTTGATATCCGATAGAGGAACGGGTATTTTGGCGACAATTGAACGACCAGAAAGTCGTTGGATACCTCCGTATGCATATCCGACATTTTGTATCCGTCATATTGGCAAGAATAGTATCGACCGGTTTCATAACGCACACATTCGTAGCGAGATAGTAAGCATGGGTAAGTTTTATTTTCAATATTTGTGCATTTTTTACATGGTTTTTTAAATTGCGGTTTAATACAATATATTATGAAATAGATACGAACTACGTAGACCAAATTTTGATAAGAGATTGGAGAATTTGAAGGTCTTTTACGATGATCAGCGTGTTTGGAAGTGGGCTTCAAAAATACCGCTGGAAAAATGGTCGCAAGCATACGATGAAGGTCGAGATACGGACATATGACCACAAACCTTGTTGAGGCCATTAATTCGGTACTAAAAGGTACACGCCATCTCCCAATTGCGAGTGTGGTGAAAGAGACATACTTTAGATTGGCTAAGGTTTGGTCGGACAAAGGCAAAGAAATAGAGTCTCATAAATAGAGGTAAAACTTGGGCCCTACAGTGGTGGAATCAATGGAAGCAAATGAGCGATTGGCAACATCAATGGTTGTTCATAATTTCGACCGAGTTGGTCATACTTTTTTCGTGTTGTGCATACGTCGTAATGTCGGATGAGAAGACCAAACATTTAGAGTTGATTTACGATAGAAATGGTGTGATTGTGGTCGTTTTCAGCATGGAAATATCCATGTGCTCATGCAGTCGCTGCATGTATGTATGCTGGTGTAAGCGCATACACTTATGTTGATGAATGCTTTCACCTACGTAGGATATTAAATGTCTACAGCTATGCATTCAGACAGATCCCGAATGAACCATATTGGCCTAGAAAATATCATGACGAATGGCTGCCAAATTCAATGCTTCACAGAAGTCCAAAGGGTCGACCTGCGTCCACTCGTATTCATACCAATATGGATTTCCATACTAGAGAGAGAGGTCAAGCAAAGAGATGAATTATGTAGGGGTGAAGGCCATTCAAAAAACAATTGTCCTAAATTACCAAGATATAGGCCTCATATTAGTAATGATATATGTATTTCTATGAATTTCTATGTATTTCTAAGATTTAGTAATGATTAGTAATAATGAAATTATTATTAATATTTAATGATTTGATAGTAATGATTTAGTAATGATTAGTAATAATGAAATTATTATTAATATTTAATGATTTGATATTAATGATTTAGTAATGATTAGTAATAATGAAATTATTATTAATTTTTAATGATTTAATAGTAATGATTAGTAATAATAATTTATTATTAATATTTAATGATTTGATATTAATGATTTAGTAATGATTTGATAGTAATGATTTACGACTTGAACAATGAACAATGTTTGGTTCAATTAACCATATTTGCGTTACATAACTAGTAATGAAATTATAATAATGATTTAATAATGATTAGTAATAATGAAATTATTATTAATATTTAATGATTTAGTAATGATTAGTAATAATGAAATTATTATTAATATTTAATGATTTGATAGTAATGATTTAGTAATGATTAGTAACAATGAAATTATTATTAATATTTAATGATTTGGTATTAATGATTTAGTAATGATTAGTGATAATGAAATTATTATTAATTTTTAATGATTTGATAGTAATGATTAGTAATAATTAGTAATAATAATTTATTATTAATATTTAATGATTTAATATTAATGATTTAGAAATGATTTGATAGTAATGATTTACGACTTGAACAATGAATAATTTGGTTCAATTAATTATATTTTCGTTACATAGTAATGAAATTATAATAATGATTTAGTAATGATTAGTAATAATGAAATTATTATTAATATTTAATGATTTGATATTAATGATTTAGTAATGATTAGTAATAATGAAATTATTATTAATTTTTAATGATTTGATAGTAATGATTAGTAATAATAATTTATTATTAATATTTAATGATTTGATATTAATGATTAGTAATAATAATTTATTATTAATATTTAATAATTTGATATTAATGATTTAGTAATGATTTGATAGTAATGATTTACGACTTGAACAATGAACATGTTTGGTTCAATTAACCATATTTTCGTTACATAACTAGTAATGAATTTATAATAATGATTTGATACTAAAAATCATTATAAATATGTCGAATTTGTTAAGGTTTGAAAAAACTAGTCTAATTTCAATATTAAATTTGTAACAAATAACAAACTAGTTTACAATTGTTGCCGATGTCGGGGTGTTGTTGAATGATAATGTTGGGGCGGACGTCTGATGCGTTGTGGCCGTTGCGGTTGCTTAGGAGTATGGTACCCATCCTCCTCATTCATTGGGGGCATTTGAACTGACATGTGTTCAAAGTCATACGTCGACGAAAACATGGGAGAGTAGATGGATGCATCAGGCTGCACAAACTCTGGTATGTATGCATCGTCGAACGGTTTTGGTGCACTATTATCCACATCGGTCATTTCCGCTTCAGGTTGTTGAGATGAACTACCACTCCCTCTTGATAGAGAGTATTCAACTTTACCAAACCTTTTCTTAAACCTCAAAAATTGTCGCCTCTCTACAATTATTGTCAAGAATTGCTTTCCATTATCCAAAAAATAAGCAAGGTAAGCCGAAGTCTCAAAATTAAAGTCGTCGTCTTGAATGTCGTCAAGAGTTGGCATGAATGAAGCCCTATTGTTCCAAGCATTAATGTAGGTTGCATGCTTCTCAACCCAATTAACATTTTCTTTACGACGACCATCAAATCTGTGCAGCTGGTCATGCGTCTCAACCCAATTCACCTGACGACGACCATCTAAGATTTGGAGGAGGTCATGATCCCATGGACTCCGCAGAATAGGTTGGTGGAAATAGAATTGCCTCAACACTCTATCCCCAAATTGGATCTCAACAAAAAACAAAATTGATCAATAGTGTAACAGCACACCAATATTGAAACTCATCTAAAGTATCGTGCGGTATCAACGCAAGTATTTCTTCATTCATGTATGGTCTCCAATTAAACTGTAAAATTACAAAAAAATAAAATTTATTTAAATCAAATAATATAGTTAATTTAAATAATAATTAAAAATAACAGATTATACATACCTCCTTTTTTGCCTTAATGTCGATCTTCAGCCTGAACTCTTTAATGTTGTTGTGCACCAACCCCTTGCCTTCAATTTTATGCCTCCATCTGTATATCAATCAAAACAAAAATATGGTCATTTTTATTTTTATAATTAATATTTTATATTAAAATAGAGAATTCATATTACCTTCCGGCAAGCGAAAAGTCAACCGCAGTCCGACTAATCGGTGTCAGAAACGGAAGTCTATGCCAAGTCCATGACTGTAGCAGCAACAAACATCCACCGATTTCTACTGTATTATTATCATTCACGACTAATGACGCCTTGCACATCTCACGATACAAGAATGCCAATATCGCCGATCCCTAGCTATATTGCCTACTATTCTCAAAATTTCTTAAAAAAAGAAGATATTGAGTGTGAACATAACTACCGGATTTATCCGGCATTAAAATACCCCCAATCAACTGTAATATATATGCTCGTGTTGCATATATAATTTCGTGCTCCGAACTATTTGGTTGAAGCTGAAATTCATTCTTCAACCATGACAACCTCACACGCCACCCTTTACACTCTGGTGGTACGGGCGTTTTCCCAAGAAACAAGCTACAAAGTTGTGCCACATTATTAAACTCATGTGACATTACCACTGGCATCCCATTTGTTTGGACCCCGAGTTACAATGCCACATCCTCCAGAGTTATCGTACATTCGCCACACGATAAATGAAACGTGTGCGTTTCTTGTCTCCAACACTCAATCAAGGCACTGATCAAACCTGGGACCAACTTGTAATCTCGCACAAATGTCACATACCAAAATCCAGCCTCCTGCAAGTTTTCTTCTATCAATCTGTGTGACTTGGGCACTTTATGTAGCCGAAGACGAAAGACTCGTTGCTGTCCTCCTGCAATTAAATATTTCAAAAAATTTATCACAATCATAAAATAATATTCAAATATTTATTAATTATAATTCATTAAACAAATATTTTATTCACCATTATTCCCAAATGACTTGAAATTTGTTCATTGTCAAGCCTCAACAGTGGAATTTGGTCAACCATTGGAATGAATCTGTAAAAAAAATTAAACAATAATATTTAAAAACCCATTTAATATAATCTAATATAAACTAACTAACTAATTTACAACACTAAACTTTAATATAATAACTTATAATATAATAAACTAATAAACTAACAAACTAAACTTTTTAAAATATAAGTTAAACGTAAACGCTAAACCCTTAAACAACTAATAAAAATATTCTTTTCTATAACTAAAAATAATAAACTATTATTCATTATAATATACTACTAATAAACTTACTAACTAATTTTTTATATAATATAAATTCAACAAACAAATATAACTTAACTATTTAACTACCACAAACAAATTAAATAATTTTTTATATAACTAACGATTAACAAAACAAACTAATTAATTATTTTTTAACTATATAACTATCAAACATACTAATTAAATAATTTTTTATTTATGTATAATATAACTTAAACTAACAATCATATAACCCTAAACTAACAAACTAATTAACTGATTTTTGTTTTACCATAAACCCTAAACTAACAAACTAAACATTTATAATAATAAACTAATTTAAATAAAAAAATTACCTCACAAGAGCCTTATCTCCCTTTCTTCTTCTTCCTTTCTTTTCTCCCTTTCTTTCTTTCTCGACTGCAATTTCTTCTCCCTTTCTTCTGCTGCAATCTCTTCTCCTTTTCTTCAGCTGCAATCTCTTCTCCCTTTCTTTCTTTTATGTTCTCACGATAATGCACACCCCATATATAATTTAGGTGTCACCGGCTGCCTCAATTATTTCACCAATAATTGTGCAATTACAGCTATGATAGCAGCTGATTTCACGCTGCATTGGTTCAATAATTGCACCAATAATTCACGGCTCAAATGATTCACATGCATGCATCAATAGTTGCTGCATGAAGCAGGTGATTTCACGCTGCAATTGCAGCTATGATAGCTGCATGCATACAGCGGGAGCAGGAGGGGAGCACGTAAAAGAATCTCAGTTGGCTATTACAGCTGCTCGTGGCTCGTGTAAAACCCCACAAAGGTCGCCTGGAAGGCATGGTGACCTACAAGGTTGCCCGGATTGCATGGCGACCTATGGCCATTACTGAATTCACCCCATTTGTAAGAACTCTGAACTCTCCGTTGAAGCCAACCCGAAAAATCTTCAAGACGATATTCCAAGTAAGCCCAACTCGGTTCGAGGTGGCTCGAGCCTTTCATGGTGACCACGTAGATGAAAACAACCAAGCATGCAAGCAATATGACGAGGATCAGCATGAAAACAACCAAGCTTGGTCACCGGGACTGCTTGGCGACCTACAAGGTCGCTGGGAGTGCATGGCGACCTTGTAGGTCGCTGGGAGTGGGGAGTGCATGGCGACCTGTGTTGGGGCCGTGCATGGCACATGCAGACGTCCATTATCTCTGTGCAGTTCGCCGGGAAGCCATGGCGACATAATAGGTCACCCGGAAGGCATGGCGACCTACGGCCACACTGTGGATTTCACCCTATTTCAGCAAATAATATGGGGAGTGCATTATCTCGTGAATTATTTATTTTGAAAGCATTATATCGTGAGTTTAGCCGTGTGTGTGCTGATTATTTTCTACAGCATTGATGTTAAAGTTCATGGAGAATGTAATAACATGTTTTTACAAGATTTTGAGAGGTCTTGCATTCACAAAGCAATTCAAATTCCAATGTTGCAGATATTAGGAAAAAAACTGGAAAAAAGAATAGGATAATGTTATTTAGATTTGATGATTATCCATCGTCATAGATGGAGAATCTTAGTTGATAATAAAAAAATAAACAAAGTAAGTTATTTATATATATGTGTATGTATGCACGCATGCTCATTCCCCAATGATTACTATTAGCACATGAAAATACTAAAAAACTTTTTTCCTGCAAATGGTCGGTCGATTAACAGTCTTGTTTTTGGAACCAAATCCTTAGATACATAAAATAAAAAAAGAATAATAAAAAGCTATAATAATGATGATATTCCTGGGTTATGTTTCCTTTTTGGTTTATGGTTGGTTGCCTGGGAAAAAGAATGGGACCAAAGATCTTGGGAAGAAGGATTGAATCAAATGTAAATTCCTAAACTCGGTATAACAAATTATTTCATTGAATGTTGGTAATGAAATTTGATTTTTATTCAAATAGGTCCTAGAGGTGATATACAGAATCCTAGATGAACCTGTAAGCAAAGATGAAGTACAAATGTCATAACAATAGTTTATTGTTTTTAAAAAATAGTTACGACTTTTAATTTTGAAAATTTGGTGATTTGGAATTGATTTGTATAAAATTGAAAAAGAGTCGTCATCAACCTTTAGGTTAGGTAAACGTCTTTTAAAAATAATTTTAAGAAAAAACATTTTTTTAAGACAAAAGTTGGTCTGCGATTACCAAAGATTCAATTAAAACGAGTTCGGGAGTCGGTTACACGTGGGGAAGGATTAACACCCACAGCGCCCAAAATTGATATTGTGTCGCTTACACATTGTCGTCATGATGGAAATCATGAATCAAATATCAAGTTAAAATATGATCATTTATTAAATATTGATTAATTTACTTCAAATTAATAATTTAATGAGGATATTCAAAAGACTGAAATAAATAACTCATTTTTATTAATATATTTAATACTCATATATAGGAATTTCGTTGATAAATAATAATATGTAAAATATGTATATCTATATAAAGTGAAACTAAAATAAAATATCACAATCCATATTAATATATTTAGAGATCAAGCAAGTGAATACATCCAAACATGGATGGATGTTTTCAAAGTAATGGTGGACCCCTCTTGCATAGTAGTCAAGGAAACATCACGTGGGTGAAGTTTCAAAAGATAACCTTTACCTGAATTCTTGCTATCACGCACATGAAAACGGGTGCCACCAAAAATAAAAAATCACTAACCTAGGGCTCATATCAAGGTTTTAAAAATTAAATATGCACAACATGAGTGAAATTTAAATAACAATGAAAAATATACAATACTTAAAATCAATGACTAAAATAATAAACATTTAAAGACTAAATTATAAATATACATAAATATCGAATAACATAATAATAGACATTAAATAATATACAACTAGGAAATAAATAAACATTATATATTAGTAAAACATTTGAATTAGAATAATAACATTGAAATGAACTAAACAAATAAAACATTTATTTTCCAAACAATAATTAAAGGATTAAAACAAAACTTAAACAAGTTAGAAATCAAATTATAAACAGTAATAATTATTAAATTACAGGTCTAAATAAAATAAAACAAGGATTAAAAAACATAAAACATATATTAGACCAAAATATATGAAGACACATACCAGGACTGAAAAATATTAAATGAGAACTGACAAACACCATAATAATTTACCCAAAATAGATGATAAATATATGGGACCAAAACATAAACACAAAATAATTCAAACTCAAAATCTAATATGCATAAATTTGATTTAAGGACTAAAATAAATTGAGTAAAAAAATGAGCATGGCTCCTTTAGGAATAAACCCACGTGAACCACCCAGGACCCCAATTAAACGACAGCATTTTAATCAAACTATCTAAAGCCTTTAAAATTTAACCTAAAAATAAATCTTAATTTCTACTAAACCTAATCACTTCCCCCTGTACCATTTTGAACCTCTTCTCTCCTTCATCCTCTACTCCTCACACCCGCATGGCCGAAACTCTTCACAACCCCATACCTGAGCAACTTTAAACCCTCTTTTCTTCCATCGCCTGAGAAGAAAACCCAAACCTATTGCTCGCTAACGCTCGCCTACTCACCATGTAATAGCTACAACGTAAAGTAAAAACGAACCGAGCAAGGTAACGTTACTAGCTTATCTTCTATGTATCTTCACTTTTTTAGAAACACAAATACTTAGAATACTGAAAATTGAAAACAATATAGAAAATACCAAAAAAAAAATTATTTACTTTCTATTGCTTACTCGGTTTATAAATACAATGGTGAGACTCCTGGTTTTTATTACTTGTCTCCAAATAACTCTAGTCCAAAGTTCCCCCTTTTGATTCTAACAAAAAAAAAACCCTTGTTATAACGAAAACCCCCTGTGGGTGAATTTTTGGTTGATTTCTTGTTCCCCCCTTTTGTCTTCGAATCCTTTTGCGTATTTTATGGTTGATATCTTCACCTAATCTTCATGGATGCATCTAAAATTTCTTTGCGTTTGGTATGAAATGACGAGCTTAGGTGAAGTTTAGGTAGAATTTAGTTGTGTGTGTCTATAGCTTCCACTAATTATTTTGTCTTTTTAGCCTTCCATCATGCACACAAATCTAATTAAGGATGGTGCCTACATCTTTGTCACCGCTAGTATGGTGCATGTGATGCGGTCTGTTGGTGAACATGTCGTGAAACTGCTGGGGAGATACCTCGGGTCTGTATGTGGCCTGCATCAAAATATAAATTAGTTAATTAAGTATAATAATAATAATATTTTTTAAAGCCCGAACAAAAAGGGGTGTCTACAACTGCCCCTCTTTACACATTCTTGTGTTAACAAGAATAGGGTAAAGACGAAAAAGGCAACCAGTTTTTGTCCAATTCTTTTTTTTTTGTTTTGAGATTTGTTGTTTGATTTGGGAGATGACACGGCTCATGCGTGTTGAAGAGTTCTGATCATCTAAAGGTGACAAGTCTCCTACATAATGAGAAGATCTAGTCAAGGGATGACACTTCTCATACGTGATGAAGAGTTTTTGGCCATCTTTAGGAAGGGTGATAACTCGGTTCCTACGTGATGAGGACGACTGGTTATCTAGCTTGACATAGCTCCTACATAAAGAGGAAATATAGTCAGGTGATAACACGGATCATACGTGATGAAGAGTTCTGGCCATCTAAAGGTGATAACACGGCTCATACGTGATGAAGAGTTCTAGTTATCAAGGAAGGGTGATAACACGTCTCATACGTGATGAAGAGTTTTGGTTATCATGGATTGACATAGCTCCTACATAATAAGGAGATCAGGTCATGTGATGACACGACTCATACGTGATGAAGAGTTTTGACCATCTAAAGGTGATAACACGACTCATACGTGATGAAGAGTTCTGGCCATCTAAAGGTGATAACATGGCTCATACGTGATGAAGAGTTCTGGTTATCAAGGATTGACACGGCTCCTACGCGATGAGGAGATCAGGTCGGGTGATGTCACGGTTCCTATGTGATGGAGGACGTCAGGCCATTAAGGGTGATAACACGGTTCCTACATGATGAGGATGACTGGTTATCTGAGGTGACAAGGTTCCTACGTGATGAGTACGACTAGTCGGTGGATGATAAATTGTTATGAAACTAAGTTAATCCATTGGGCACAATAGTCTTCTTTGTGAAGTTGAAATCGTGGTGGCTCATTCATCGTGAAGTTGAGCTTTGAGTTAGATATCCTTCATTGTGAAGTTGAAATCCAATCTTTTGTTGCATTGATTCACCAAATTGTCTTTGAGTTGGATATCTTTCATTGTGAAATTGAAATCCAATCTTGTGTTGTATCGAGCATGATATCATTTACTGTAAAGTTGAAATCTAGTTTGACATAGTCAACCTTGGTCTTCTTATTGGCTTAAAAACCTTGGTTTAAAGATAACTGAAAAGTAATTCTTCGTTGCCACATGTAGTTGATATGTCATCGAGCTGAATGGAACCGAACTCGAAAGTCTTAATTGACAAATAGCTATTCTTGACTTAAGCTATGTTGCAATGAGCTGAGAGGTTGCCCCAGATCTTCTTCTTAACTTGAAGACCTTAGCTTCAACCTGAAAGTAGTTCCTGTTGCTACCATGTAGTTGATATGTCATCGAGTTGAATGGAATCAAACTTGAAGGTGTTTGTTGACAGATAACCCTTCTCGCCTTGAGTTATGCTGTAAACTTGACATGTCCTGGAACTGAATGTAATTAAACTTGAAGGTTTGTGTTGACAGATGACCCTTCTCGCTTTGAGCTATGCTGTGAATTTGTTTGTCCTTGAGCTAAATAGAATCGAACTCAAAGGTATCTTGCTGACAAATAACTCTTCTCACCTTGAGTTATGCTGTAAATTTGATGTGCCTTTGAGCTGAGTGTAATCGAACTCGAAGGTCTTGGTTGACAGATAACTCTTCTCGTCTTGAGTTTTGCTACCAATAGTTCCTTTAAGTGAAAAAAAAGGACTCCCCTTCACGGGTCTAGGCAGGTTATAATTCTTCAGGTGGTTCCCCTTAACGAGTTTGAACCAAGTGAGATGATCTTTGGATAACTCCCCTTCACAGGAAAACCATGTGGTATATTCCTCAGGTGATTCCCCTTAGTGGGTCTGAACCGAGTAAGATGAATTTTGGATGACTCCACTTCATAAGAAAGCCATGTGGTATATTTCTCGGGTGGTTCCCCTTAGCGGGTCTGAACCAAGTGAGATGATCTTTAGATGACTCCCCTTCACGGGAAAGCCATGTGGTATATTCTTTAGTCGAATACCATCCGTCGTTGAGTTGAAATATGGCTTTTAACTGCAAAATAGTCGCTCGTCATTGAGTTAAGCTGAACTAGATTCGCTCTAAATTGGCTCTCGAAACAGTGTGAAGTTGATTCTGATATTTGTCGATCTTTCAATATATCAAGTTGGTTGAGTTGTAACTCATTGCTATTGAGTTAAGCAACAACCATCAATATCTTTTGAAGTTGTTATTGAATCGAGTATATTTCGTCTTGAAGTTGAAACTTGACTCTTAGCATGAATCTGCAAAATTATACACATATGTGATGCTATGAATGCAATGGATATGTATCAAATGATGATGTATGATTTTCTTATATGCAAATGATGTTCTTATGAATGCAAAAATGTTAATGCAATCTTCATTTGACTTCAAAGTGGTGAACTCGGGCTTTCTTCACTTAGTAAAAATGTCATTTCAAGCTGGCATTTCTGATGAACCATCAGTTCCACTTGCATCTTTGTGTTTTCTTTGTTTTATTAAAGTCTCAAAAGAAATGTTTCATTTGTGGAACTCTTGTCATCGTCATAATTATGATTTTGATGGCCCATTTTGTCCTGGATAACACCAAATTTCTTCGCCTGGACTTGTGTAGAAATCCAAGAAAGCTTTCATCTTTGAAAAGAGAATCTATCATCTTTGAAAAATGTAGATGTAGATATGCTAAACTCATT